ATCTGCATTTTCTTACAAGAGTTTTATAGTTTTATGGGCCACCTGGTGGCTCAGTTAGTTAAGCATCCGATTCTTGATTTCAGCTCAGGTCATGATCTCAGGGTCATGAGATTGAGCCCTGTGTCGGGCTCCATACTCAGCAGGGAGGGAGTCTGCTTAAGATTCTCTCTCTCCCCCTCTCCCTCTGCCCTTCCTCCCACCTGCACTTGCTTGCTCTCTCAAAAAAAAAAAAAAAAATTCTTTTTTTTACAGTTTCAGCTCTTACATGTAGATCTTTAATCCATTTTGAGTTAATTTTTGCCTCCATCCACTCTTGCCCACTCCAGTTAATTTTCATTTACTAACATGACTACTAAATTGAGTCAGAATGTTCTTAAAACTTTAATCTGGTTGTGTCATTCTCCTTAAAGCCTTCAGTAGCTTCCTGTCATAGAAAGAATAAAAACCAAACCCTTTGGCTTATAAAATGGGTCTTATTGTGATCTGCCTGCCCCCTGCTCACCTCACCATCCTCATCTTGTGTCTGTCCCTCTCTTCCTCTTCACTACAGTCTAGCCATGTTGGAAGCCTCATAGTGACCCAAGCAGGCTGAGTCTTTAGCTATTTCAGGACTTTGGCGCCTGTGTCTTCATGTGGCTGGCCCTCCTCACCCTCAGATCGCCATTGTATTTTCATTTCCTCAGGGAGGCCTTCTTGGGCACCCTTAAACCAGGTACTCACTTGTTCAGTGCTCTGTTCCTTGACTCTGCTGCACTTTGGGGGAGGTAATTCACTGCCTCTTGGTATTTACTGTTCTGTTTCCTGATTCTTTCCCTGGAAGGTGAACTCAGAATAGGAATTGTTCATTTACACACTGTTATTTACATAGCCCCTGGTACAGTGGACACTCAGTAAATAAATACTTGAGTGAATGAATGAATGAGGTGCCCCGTGTATTTAAGGTATATTTCATTTGATTGAAATTGATTGAAATGAAAGATTATGGCAAATTAATCTTGTCTTCAGATTCTTCCATATGTTTTTCTACATTTTGATGTTTATCTACAGTAGGTTGTAGGATGGAAAAATCGAACTCAGCAGTTTGCTTATTTTGTTTACAAGTGGATGTAAAACTTCCACAGGAAAAGTGCAGTTTGAAATGATTTCCCAAGGTGTTATGTATCTCAGGAACAGATTTTTAAAAAAAAGAATGCTCCTAGATCAGAAGTTCAGTGTACATTATGGTCATTTATTACATATCTTTTAAACCATATAAGCCCTTTGTTTTCCTCTACCACTGTTACAAAGTTGTCTTGCCACTTAACAGGTTCACAGCCATTGTTATAGAAGTTAAATCTTAATATTTATTTCCTGTCAACACAATTGATGGAACATTTTGGTTGAATTTTACCCTGAAGTTAAATGTTCTTTATATGCATTCAGAGTTGGGGTGGGAAAAGGACCATGTATGGCAAAGAACTTTTGACTTCTTGGACATTATTTTATGTCTGACTCTTAGACAAATCTAGAAGTGTTTACCTTTTGAGTTAAGCACTGTCATGAGTGTTGGTTTGTCACAAGAGAACATTTCATGATTGTTGGGAGAACAAGAGGAGGAATGTCCTTGTTCATTTATTTTTGAAGGCCTACCTCCATTTTGTTAATTCAGTTAATATTTGTTCTTTTTCTGAGACACTAAGCTTCCAAAACAGAATTTACTTCCTAGGTAGGTGACACTGAAGTAGAAAACCAGTGTGTATGCTGTTAATTGTATAAATGGTTCATTTGAACCACCTTGTTAGGAATATTTTAAAGGTGGCCACTAAAGAAAATTTCTCTCCTTTAAAGCAAAATTGAAATTTAATTTTATTTACTCCATGTATGCATTTTCCCTGTGTTTAGTCCATAATTAGATTCACTGAGGAGAGATGTTTGTTAGTGTTCTCATGTTAAATGTAAAAAGCGAGTCAGTTTGAAATAACTGGCTCAGAGGTTTGGTCATTCTTAACTAAGTCAAAAAGTTGATTGTTGGAATTCACATAGTAGAAAAGTATCCTGGAAATAAGAAAACAGGCATTTGGGAGCAAAATGAAGACATGTTAAAACTTTCTTGTAGATTTGGTTCTTGCTGACCTTTAGTGACTGACTGCCAATATATTCTGTTTGGGTCAGCAAATTTTAGAGCTTTTGATGAATGTTTAAGGTTTTTAGACTATTGGGCACTATGGGAATAAATAGAATAATTAAAATATGTTTCTGAGCTAGTATGCAGCTGTTTTTTTCCTGCCTTTTTCTTTCCTTTAAAAAAAAATTTCTTGGGGTGCCTGGGTGGCTCAGTTGTTAAGCTTCTGCCTTTGGCTCAGGTCATGGTCCCGGGGTCCTGGGATCGAGGCCCGCGTCGGGCTCCCTGCTCCGCGGGAGGCCTGCTTCTCCCTCTCCCCCTGCTTGTGTTCCCTCTCTCACTGTGTCTCTCTCTGTCAAGTAAATAAATAAAATCTTCAAAAAAAATTTTTCTCTGAAGATTTTGTCAGAGAGAGAGCAGGTGTGCACACAAGCAAGGGGGGCAGCAGGCAAAGGGAGAAGCAGGCTCCCTGCTGAGCAGAAAGCCAGATGTGGGACTCGATCCTAGGACCCTGGGATCATGACCTGAGCTGAAGGCAGATGCTTAATGGACTGAGGCACCGAGGTGTACCCCCCTTTTTTTTAAAGAATTTATTTTAGAGCATGCATGGGCCTGTGGGGGAGGGACAGAGGGAGAGGGAGAGAGAGGGGAAAGAATCCTTCCTAGACTCCCCACTAGTGCAGAGCCAGGATCTCAGGACCATGAGAGCATGACCTAAGCTGAAACCATGAGTCGAACGTTTAACCAACCAGTTGAGCCACACAGGCACCTCTTTCCTGCCTTTTTCTACTTTGACCGCATGAACCAGTGATAGATCTGTTTGTCATACTCTAGATGGATAGGTAATCTTGTGGTATATTTTAAAAATCACCCATATGTATTACATTATACCCTGATGATATGCTCGCCCTGATGAGACCTCTCCCAGTTAAAGGGATTTTGGTTTCAGTTCTTGAGCAATGGAAGAAATAATGTGGACTTCAGATAGTCTTTGACTTTTAATATGAAAGTATGTTCAGGTATCTTGGCTTTAGTTTTGTGAGGTTATGCCCCTTTGCATGAATCTTCTAGATTTGCAAAGAATGGGTGCTCAGAGAATTCTCCTTTATTATCTTTTCAGGGTGTAAAGGCACAGGTAAATCTCTGTGCCCTTGGAATCTCGATTATAATGTCACATATAATAGTGCCTCAGCTTTTCTTTCCCATGGTTTAATTTGCCACAGTAGTGGAAACTCCAAGGCATACATACGTTCTTGTGTACTGAGGAGGCAACGAAGGGGCTATCCACACTACCTCTTTTATAGCTGCAAGGCTCTCTGGCTGGTGGGACTTCCTTACATTCACTTGCTTAGCTTCCAAAATTCATAGGGATGCCTCTGGCTACCTGCTCCATCTTAGTATGGAGGCACAAGTCCTTTCTGGGGCCCCAGTCTCCCCTTAGTTTGTTCTTTCTCCTAGCTTAGGAAGTTAAGTTGTATTTGACAGTTCTCAGAGAAGCCATTCTGATACAGAAAAAGTATGTAGGGCTTCACATTGGAAGATATAGTTTTGACATGTAGTTATTTAGCCACTTAAATGCTGGTTATACGGAATAATAAATGAATGTGTAGCTTGTAGTGCTGTTGGAGGATATAAGTGAAGAAAGGCATGTGAAAGTACTCCACTTCATGTCAAATTATAATTAAAGAGCAGTACCTACTGTTTATTGAGCTCTTACTGTATTATGCAGTGTGCTAATAAATACATTATAGGTATTAATCTGAATCCTCCCAATAACCTGCAGAGTAGGTCATAGGAACTGTGTTCAACTCATGGGGAAGTTCAGAGAGCCAAGTGATGTGTCCAAGGTCACACAGCTTCTAAGTGCTGATGTTGGGATTTGAATCTGATCTGTATGAAAAGCCTATGCATGTAAAACTGCTTTCTTTACAATCATTAGAAGTGGTCATTCTATTTGCATTTCTTTGAAGACTGAAAAGACTGATTTTTCCATTTGTTTGTTAACCAGTTGTGTTTTCTATTTGTAACGTGTCTGTGGATGTGTTTGCCTACTTACCTGTTGGAATCTTTGCTGATTATCTTATGAATTGGCACAGACTTCTCATGTATTATATACTTAACCCTTTTTCGGCTATACTTGAGGCAGCAAATGACATTCATCATCCAAACATACAAAATTTTATACTTGGATATGCTTTTTTTTTTTTTAAGATTTTATTTATTTATTTGACAGGGACAGCGAGAGAGGGAACAAAAGCAGGGGGAGTCGGAGAGGGAGAAGCAGGCTTCTGGCTGAGCAGGGAGCCCAGTGTGGGGCTCGATCCTAGGACCCTGGCATCATGACCTGAGCTGAAGGCAGACACTTAACGACTGAGCCACCCAGGCACCCCGATACTTGGATATGTTTTAAGATCTCATTTCCACCTGGGTTCCTCAGATTGTCACTTTTCTTTAAGTTTATTCTGTAAAATGTATTTAAAGACTTTTATTCAGAGATACTCCCATATTCTAGGGATTCTTTTGTGTTAAACAGTGAGTGTGGTCTAACTGCATGAGAGAATTTCTGTGTTGTATTATGCGCAGCTTAAATAGCCTCAGTTAACTTTCAGATTTCACCTTAGGGGAATAGAGCAGAAGCCCGACACAAAATTGTTTCTTTTTTTTCCCCTTAAATTCTGTATACAGCTAAATGTTCTTAATCATGTTGTAGTTTTACATTAATTTTCCACTTGATTACTTTGGGATTGAAAATGAAACACGTTGCTAACAGTCAGCCTGAGTTGATGGAACTTAGAACATAATCACCTTTGATGACAGTACTCTTTGAGGTTGCCCAATAGATGCCAACAAAGAAGTGATGGTACTACTGAAAATAAATTCACTGTTTCTCTCTTCACAGCAAAGTTCCTGCATTCGTCAGGATGATTGCTCCGGAGGGCTCCTTGGTGTTTCACGAGAAAGCCTGGAACGCATACCCTTACTGTAGAACAAGTAAGCCTGGTTCCTGGCAGTCATTCCCCACCCTCTGCCCCACTGCTGAGGAGGAGAGGGACTCCTGGTGCCAGTGCCTTTGAGAAGGGTGACACTCAAGGAAGTCCTCTGTGGATTCTTGGGTAGTCACTGCAGGTGCTGTGGCAGAGGAGAGATTTCTCTGGGTTCCTCCCCCTAGACCTTTGTAAGGGGCATTGGTTCATTCCCAGAGGAGAGCACCTTGAGGTCCTTGCTGACCTCAGTGGCTCCAGGGGTGAGACCTGAAAGGTCATCCACACTCAAAAGTGTCCTTTGGTGTAGTTTTAATAGTATTTTTCTCATATTGCCACATATAGTAGGGTAGGAATATGGCAGACTTCTGAAACAGTTTCCTGTTGTTTTTTAAATTGGCCTTAAAGTGATATATTGCTTTTGTGACATTATTCTCCCATTGTTTTAAAATTAGATTATTGACTCTATAATCTAAGGTAGACTGTAGTGTCACTTGTATAGAAACTTTTGCAGACATAAACTACTAAATGTTATGTGTTCTCAGGGAGTTTAATCATCGTGACAGTAAATATGACAGATTATTTTGACTTCGATTAATATTCTGAAATTTTTTCCCCTTTTATTGCCCACCTGTCCATTATGCCTCAGTTGTAACGGTGAGTAAAACTATTTTTGTGTCACATACTCTTCATCTTTAAATTTTGCTTTACATAATAATTATTTTCAGTCATTCATTGCTTTTTAAAATAAAACTGCCCACCGCTGCATGGCTCCTCCTCTGTGCTCTTTCCACCAGCCTACACTCCACCACATGTTCACAGTGTTAGTGGGTTTTTTCCAGCCTTGTCTCAAAACCTCCCTGTTGACTTTATTTTGCTTCTGCTACTTCTTTGAATGCCGTATTTGCTCACCAAACCTCCCAGCTTCTTTAATATTAGCCCTGTATGCTGCATGACAAGTAGGGTTGTTTAAATTATTTAAAAGCATGCAGCATTTGGTTTGCCTGACGAGTTTATAACAACAGGTAGCTAATGATTCTTTGTTACTTGAGGATCAGTCTTATAGAGTCAAAGCACGGATACTTATGCTGGGGAAGGCTCCTGCAGACAAAAGCCCCAAAGAACCAGTGAAAGACCACTGTCATTTTGCTGTTGTGTTTTCTGCAGAATGAATATATGAAAGATGATTTCTTCATTAAAATTGAAACATGGCACAAACCAGACTTGGGAACATTAGAAAATGTAAGTTTCAACTCTGGGCTTTCAGTGCAGAAGCCTCTGGAAATGGGAATATTGTTGTAGTCCATTCTGTCATCACCCGAGTGATAGCACCTACAGGAGACCGGTACTTGGACACACCAGGGCATGTCCGATTGCAGTGAGGCAGGCCAGCAACCAGCAACAAACGGGGCATTCCCTCTCAGCCCCCTTGCCTTGGTGCGAGAGCAGACTGTGGGGAGAGTTGCTGTTATTATCACGCTCTCTCTATCTGGGACAGGGAGAGCAGAGAGAAAATTCACAAACCGATTTTAGCCATTAACTTTAGATTTCTTTCATCTTTTCATCTCTGTATGTTTGTCAGAGCTACTCTACAAAGCAAAATTGACTGCTTTAATTTTCACCTCCACTCTGCTTTGCTGGGTTGATGTCAGAGAAATAGCCAAAAGGCGAGAGGGAGGAGCAAATGTGAATGTTTTACAAAAATGTTGACAAGCTTCTGATTTTTACAAGTTGGAGCACATTTATCCCTCAAATAAATTTCAAGAAAATCATTTAAGACTCAGTGTAATCATTAACTTTTGATAAGATGTGTTAGAGAACTTGGCAAACAATCTGGTATGGATCGATGCCCTTGGCCCAGTGGCTGTCAAAAGTGTGGTCTCTGGACCAGGAGCAGCGTCTGGGAACTTGTTAGAAATGCACATTTTCAGCTCTCACCCGATACTTAATGAATTAAAATCCCTGGGTGTGGGGCCCAGTATGCTGTGTGTTGTGGTATACGATCCAGCTCAAGAGCTCCAGTTTGAGAACTGCCGTTTCAGCCTCACCATTACGCTGTTACAGGAGATTAAGTTCACGTTGTGGTATTTTTCGCTTTTATGTGATTGGTGCCAATTAATAGAACTTTTGAATTATAATTGGTAGTATTTGACTTGAGTTTTTCTTCCCGGTGATCATTTGACATTTCATGTTGTTGTTGTTTTTTTTCACAGTAATTCTAAAATTTAAAATGAGATGATTGGGTGTGCTTTAGTCTGTGTATGAGTTGATCTGCCTTTTCTAGCTTCCAAATGGACAGACTTTGGCAGTTTGTAAACAGTTCTTAATTGGTTCATAGAGGGAGTTTCTATTAGAAATTATTAATTAACATGAGGAGTGGAGGAATTGCTGTCCTTTCAAAACTGAAAATTCAGGATAGGTTTTAAACCTCGCAGTGTAGCTTCTTGAAATCTAATTATAATGTCACCTTATGTTTGTCTAGGACTTAAAGGTTATGAGGACTTGGTCGTGTATCATTGGGTTAAACATAGGTTAGGTACATTTTGTTATATAACTCATCTCTAAGGATTACCAGAAAATAATGGTGACAGATTTCTGTTAATTTGGCAGCATCCTCACACCTCCTCCCCTCCCCACACTTATTTTTTAGGGATACAAGGGTAACAAAAGATCTCTAGATCCCTTAAGACTTCAGACCGCTAATTTAATGAAGTAACAATTTGGATTTTTTTATTCCTCGTAATTGCTCTGAAAGACTCAGAGATTATATATGTAAGTGTAATAGTTTGCCTAATAAGAACATCTACAGTTTGCTGTGTTTCATTTCTCTTTGTCATTTATAGGTACACGGTTTAGATCCGAACACATGGAAAACTGTTGAAATTGTCCACATAGATATTGCAGATCGAAGTCAAGTTGAACCAGCAGTAAGTACTGCATACTCCTCAATGACATTTTAACTTGTTGCCTCTTACATCTAAACATGATCTTTCTCTCTTGTATGGCCTGCATTTCTACACTTCAGTGAGCCTGGAGTTTGGGTGTGGGTCTGTGTAGCAAAAAGACCAGAGAGAGGAGAGCGGGTTATTTGTTTTCTTCTATGGATTTCGCCTTTTCACAAATGATCCCTTTGAGAAATCCCAATATACTTGAGATATATAGAGGTTTGTTTTCATTGCGGGGGGAAAAGACTAACATTATTTTATAAAAGAAGTCTCCTTTGGGCTTCTGTAAATAATGCGGGTCCCTTATACTTTTAAAGTGTGATTAAGAAAGCTTAACAGTTGTGTAGCTTTCTTTTCTTTTTTTTTAATTTTTATTTATTTGAGAGAGAGAGAGAGAATGAGAGAGAGAGAACACGAGGGGGGGGTCAGAGGGAGAAGCAGACTCCCTGCTGAGCAGGGAGCCCGATGCGGGACTCGAACCCGGGACTCCAGGATCATGACCTGAGCCGAAGGCAGTCGCTTAACCAGCTGAGCCACCCAGGCGCCCCCAGTTGTGTAGCTTTCTAATGTTGATTTTTACTAGATGTAAATATTCATACTATAGGCTTTTGACTTAATAACCCATGGTCCCCCAGAAGTGAAGACCTGCATTCTCCCAAAGTAAGACCCTCGTATTACTTTGCTGCAGTTTGAAAATATTAACTCAGTTCTTATCTTAGAGTATGCTGGTGCTGCTTGTTTTTGCAGGGCACAGTTGTGGACTTTATGTTATGACAACCATTGGCCCTCTTTATGCTGGTGTAGAGAGCAAAAGCTTTGGAACAAGAGTTCTTCTGTCATGGTAAAGCCCAGCGTGTTCAGTTAGCATTTTTATTTCATGACCTTTCCATTTCATTTTCAGTGCTTATTGTCTGAACATGAGCAGTTTTGTAGGCTGAACAGAAATAACCCAAACAAAATGTCTGGTTTTGCTGTTGAAATTTAAAGGTAAACCTTCTAGGGGCGCCTGGGTGGCTCACTGGGTTAAGCATCTGCCTTCGGCTCAGGTCATGATCCCAGGGTCCAGGGATTGAGCCCCACATCGGGCTCCCTGCTCAATGGAGAGCCTGCTTCTCCCTCTTCCTCTGCCTGCTGCTCTACCTACTTGTGCTCTCTCTGTCAAATAAATAAATAAAATCTTAAAAAAAAAAAGGTAAACCTTCTAAAACAAAGGTCCCCATCTTTTCTCTGAAGTCACTGGGTTTGAGACTGCCAGCTTTGACCCTCTGCTAGGCTAGGTCCTGTTCTGCTAGGACCCTGTCCCTGATTAGAATTGTGAGCACTAATGAAGGATCCTTGTTGTAGAACTTCTTAAATTTTAGTTGTGCTGTGATTTGACATTATTTCAATTTTAAGGATAATTCCACCTTTGAAATTATATAGGACTTTTTTTTAATTCTCAGAAGTAAATGTATGTTTTATTTTAAAAATAATATTCAAATGTCTCTTTTGCCCTTTTATTTCTCTGTGTCTTTTCCAGCCATGTTTACTGCATGTGAAAGAATGATGGTAGGAAAAATCCTGGGAGTGAGCAATGAGTGAGTCGGTTAATGGGCCAGGTCAGGGTAGCCTACGTGCTTGGACCAGCAGGTCACAAGATAATGCCTAGTGACAGTATGGATGCCCCAGGGAAGGCATTCAGGTTATATTGTTGGTGTTTGAAAAAGTTGTTCCAGCCAGACAAAACAGTCCGATCTTGTGGTTCATGGGTTTGCATTCCAGGTTGTTCTCCCGCAGAATACAAGGCACCTTTGGTTTTGCTCAGGTCATAAGAGTTCTTTGTTCTTGTTCTCAGGCTAAAATGGGTGTTCAGTCAGTGTTTGCAGGCATGAATGCAAGTAGATGGAACAGTTAAGGCCGATTGTGTAGGAGCCCCGGAGGCCCCTGGTCTCATTCTTTCCACCCCAGCCTAGACCAGCAAGGAGAGAAGGCGCTGCTGGCCTTAAGGGGCGTGACAACGGCACTTGAGATCAGTGCTCCAGGTGAAGGTTACTGCACATGCAGAGGTCAAGCGGGTGCTTCCCTGTGTGGAACGTTGTCTGGGCTGGATACATGGGGAAAGAGAAGGGATTGGGCCTGAATGAGAAGTGTCTGTATTCTGAGTCCGTGGAGCCGTGACTAAAAACATACGTTCTGAAACTAGATTGGATTTAGATTCTGAGGTTCTGCCACCTGCTGGCTATTCAGTCTTGGATGGGTTGCTTCCTCTCTCTGTGCCTGTTTTATCTTGTGTAAAATGGTGCTGATTATCTCACAGCATTAAGTGTGAGCTCTTAAAGCAGCGCCTAGTTTACTAAATGTTCGCCATTATTGGCATCATGATTGGCCACGGTTGTACAGGAGCTCTGAGAACTCTCTTCACACCAAGCATTGTTTGGGGAGTAAATCAGTAGGTATGTGTGGTTTTGTTTTTCAGTGTTCACAGCTCCTTTTTGCCAATTACATTGTTGAGATTAGTAAGATACAAACTTATTTTAAAGTTGACTGAATTCCCTGTACTTTATTTTATTGTGATGAAATACACATAGCATTTACCATTTTAACCACTTCAAAATGTACAGTTCAGTGGCATTTAGTACAGGTACCTTCATACCATCACCACTGTCCAGTTCCAGAACATTTCATCACTTCAAAAGGACACCCTGTACCCGTTAACAGTCACTCTCTACTTCTCCCTCCCCCCAGCCTTTGGCTATCACTAAGTTGTTTTCATGGACTTATCTATGCTGGATAATTCATAGAAGTGGAATCATAGCAATATGTGACTTACGGTGTTGGCTTCTTGTATGTTAGCCTGTTTTCATCCTCACTGTGGTGTATGTCATTACTTCATTTCTCTTTATGGCTGATAACAGTCCAGTATATGAATACACCAGCCTTTGGGTATGCATCCTTCTGGGGAGGGAAGTTTGGGTTGTTTCTACCTTTTGGCTACTGTAACTAGTGCTGCTGTGAAAAACTGTGTCACAATAGTTATATATGTATTTTCTCAGTTGTAAATACTGAAAGTAAACTGATACCATGTATGGATTCTTAGACCTTTGGATGTAAAAAAGGAACCCTGACATGCACACTGACTTGTGCAAAAGGGAACTCTGTGTGCTAGGAGGCGAGGGTACCCTGGGCAGTTTTGAAGCCTGGAGATGAGGAACAGAGCATTGAGCTGCCTGAGGATGTGTGAAGGCTGAGGGGGCGTTTGGGGGGGTGGGGGTGGGGCCAGCACCATTCCAACAAGGAGGTGGGAAGAGACATAATGGGGCAGGGACTCTGGGTCTTCCCTTTTCTTCTGCTCATCCTCTTCTTCCCACACTTTGGGCACAGACATTCACCCTGACACTCTCCCTTTAGGTTCCACCCCATCTATTTTTGGCCTTGAGTAGTTAATGTTTATCCTAGGAATTAGCGTCTAATGCAAACACTTGGACCACCTGGCCATCCTTACTTCTTAACTAGATCCAGTTTGGTTTTCTGTTGCATTAATTTGTTCATTTGATTCTGCTTTTTTTTTTTAAGTTTTTATTTATTTGAAAGATTGAGAGGAAGCACAGGAGCATGGGGAGGGGCAGGCTGAGAGGGAGGGAGAATCTTAAGCGGACTCCTCTCAGCTCAGAGCCTGAATTGGGCCTTAGTTTCATGACCCTGAGATCATGAGCTGAAATCAAGAGTTGGACACTTAACCAACTGAGCCACCCAGGCACCCCTCGGTTCTGCTCTTTTAAGTTCCTTAAAAATTTTGGTCCGTGGTGTTGGGAAAAGGAAGTTAAGCACACATTTGTAATTCTCAAACGACAGTGTTTTTCATAGCAGTTAACAGGTATTGAGTGCCTGCTCTGTCTGTGCTGCTGGAGTAGTCCTACAGTAGCTATCCCAGATTGGGATGGAACCTTTGAGAGGCTTGCAATCTGGGTGAAACAAGCCCAGCACAGTGAAACAGTGAACAAATGGCAGAGGCTTAATGCATGGTCCAAAGTGCTACAGGATTTCAGAGGAAAGAACAAACGATCTATGAGGACAAAAATCTGGAAAGACTGAATTGAAGAGTCATAACATGAGGGAGAGTAGGATTGGATGGATGGAATAGTCCACCACCACCCTTGTTACACTTTTCCCTCTTACCCTCATTTCTTTGACATACTATAAATTTGTTTACTTATTTTTCTCTTCTCCCTGAGTAGAGATTGAACCTCAGAGGGAAGAATCTTTGTATTCTTAACTGTTGTCTCTCCAGCTCCTAGAAGAGTGCCTGAGTCATATATATAGTAGGTACTCAGTGAATGAATGTCGTGTAGGCAAGCAGAGGTGTAGGTGCATTATCCAACACTGAAGGGAAAGTTGGAGTCGTTTTTAGAGTTGAAGGGGACCTGAGCTACCCAGGTCATTTGAACTGTGCTTTGCATAATCCTAAGAATTTCTTGGAGTTTACCAGTTTCTCAGGCTGTCAGGATGGAGCCACTAGAAAGTGGGGCTGAGGAATTCCCTCCATCCCCCTCTCCCAGCATGGTTCTGTCTGTCTGACATTAGTCTTCACTATAAATTTACTTTTAACACAGTTCTGCAGCTACAGGAAGTTTGATTTCAGGGCCCACCACCCTGTTTTATAAGTGAGGAAACTGAAGCCCAGATAAACTAGTTTCTCTCAAGGTCGTTCAACCAGTGCCAGAAATGGAAATTCTAACTCTTCAATCCAGTGTTCTTTCTACTGACTCTTGGTTCCTTCGGAGCTAAGGCCCTGCTTTGTTGCTCTTCAAGCTGCCATCTTCCTCTCCTCGCCGTTCTGGCCTGCCTTCCGGGCCTCCCTCTCTGTCCAAGGCCTGTGTGTCCTGTAGGTCAGATTCCATTTCCTCCAGGGAGATTTCGCCCATGTTGGAATCATCTACCTCTCTGCCCACTCGTTTCATTGATGTATCTTGTTCTCCATGTTCAGAAACCCATCCCCTTTTCAG